GACAAGTGTTTAGGAAATTTCCACCACGACTTTGGGACAGCCATCCAATGCTGGAAAACTTGTGTCCTTCGTCTCCTCGTGTGCCCATTATATCGCTGTATTAAAATTGTTTTTGTTGATAAATATAGTAAACTTCTAATACGAGTTTGATATAACTTTTCACAACATATGCTCAATACATATAAATACGGAATGAGATCTCATATGAAGTTCATAATTACTTTTGACTCCCATTTGCGAAAGTATAACTGATTGACATTACTTTAAAACTAATTAATTGATTTTATAATTAATTACTCTGTCGACTGTTTACTGTCTATTAAATAATAATTAAAGTTTTATAAAAGTTTTGCAAACAAACAAAAAACATGAAGTTCTCCGAAATCAACAATTATGTCAACGAAGACGATGTCATGGATTCAAAAAAGTGTCAAAAATTTGCCGCTTTAATGAACGCCGAGAGAAGACAAACGGATATGAATGCGAGGGAAGCCCTGAAAAGTTTGCTCCGATTGTTGGCCACAAAAGATTACGCAAACTTTAGTCAACAGAATCTGTTGAACGCAATGAACAATCGCTTCTCGTCCACAAAAGAGATCATGAATTTGTTGAATGAATTGCAATCGTCTTCAGAGACCAAACAGACCGCAACCACTGATGACCTCCGATGGCAGACACCAACCATTGAATCCTATTTGCCGGAAGTGGAGGACGAGTCCTATCCCGTGACCATTAACTACGGCAATGACTCGCAATCATATTATAACAAAACGATTCTCAATGAAAGTTAAAATTAATTGAATGTTTCATACATTGAATTGTTGTAAATATGTTGTAAAATATTGTAAATAATCGTATTTATTATTTTTCTTTATAATACAATTAATCTGATTTTAAAAATAATTTTATTTACTTTTAATAAATAAAAATTAATTAATACAATTTTGACATTGGCATTATGATTATTTATGTAATTGCTGACTTGTAAGGATGGTGAAATGGATTAAGAAATGTTAATTTTAGGTTAGTAACCTAAGGTTACCTATTGATATGATTTGAAAATGTTTTCTATGAAAACTAATCATTTTAATTAACTCGGATTCTGGTACATAAAAATATTAACCTAATGATTCATTAGTAATGATTAGTAATGAACAATAATACTAATTTTATAAAGGAGGATCGGCAAATTGGGCTAAGTTGGCAATCGGGATTTGACCATATAACGTGAATGTCCATAGAATTAGGAGTCCCCTGATATAATCCATATTGCTGAGCCACCTCGGGTTCGGCCGCAGTGACCATTTTTATAGGGGAAATTCAACTTATTCAATACTAACATGTGTTATATGAAATCGATGTAGAATTTAATGTATAACTTGAATATCACAATATGCTATCGGTGGGGTCAATAGATTTTATGTTATTTACTTAAAACTGTTGAATTTTAAATAAAATTAGTAAAATAACCTATTATTCTTCATCCTCTATTATCTACACAAACATAACACACATCCCCAGGTCACCTTCAGCATTCTTTACCAATAGTCACCACCACTAATCGCGGACCAAAAATAAATTGGAATTACATTAAATCTAAGCACCCTACCTGGATGACATTACGATATTCTAATTCTACGTTAAATTCTATATTAATTTCATATATAATATGTTAGTATTGTATAAGTTAAAATTTTTTGATAAAAGTGGATACTGTGGCCAAACCCGAGGTCGGATGGTCATATGGAAAAGACCAATTTACTCTATATTTGACGTAGTTCAATGTCATACAACAAATTGTTCTTAATTTGTAAAATAAAATCTAAAAGCTAGCTAACCTATGTCCCCATTACAGATTTTATAAACCCCCATTACAGATCTGCCGATCCTCCTTTATTTACATGTAAGTTATTGACCCTCATATAGTGTATCAAATAGCCATTTATGTATTCACTTAACCTCTCAATCAATAGTTAATTAATGATTTATTAATTGATTAATACTGAACGCCTGAAGTATTGCCTAAAGAGTTAATAATTAATTTTTAAAATTTATAATTATTAAATTCTCATTTTAATCTCAAGTTTAGCCATGTATTTTTATTGTAATTTTGTGTATTTTTCTTACTGTATTAAATTATAATTACAACTATAATAGTTATTTATAAGCGGTATAGTAATTGTCAATAACATTTCTTGCAATTATTTCATCGAAAGTCTGCTAAGTCTAGTAAAAGTAATTAATAGTAAAATAATATGTTTATTAATGTCGAAATAGATGTAATATTTCAGGAAGTGATAGAAAATTCCGCTTTTAATATCAAATCTAACACTTTTACATATAAACAAAAATATTTTTGAAATTGAAATTAAAAACAAAATAACATTGAAGTCGTTTTGGTTTCAAAAACATTTAAACAAAACATTCATAACTAATAACGAATATATTATATAACGTCTAAAAGTGTAATAGTTTTGCCAACATTTTTTTCTGCAAAAGAAATTAAAACAATAGTTGTTTTAACATAAGAATAATATTTGTGTTTAACTATATGTTAAGAAAATCACACAAATTTTTGTAAAACTATTTGTTATTATAATTTATGATTAATTTAATTGTTTAATATAAAACATTTGTCATATTTTCCCTATTGGTATAAAAGGGTTAAAGTTCGGGAAAATTACCGTATATTGTTTATCAATCCATATTGTTTAATGTGCAATATTAATAAAAGTACATTGTTTATAACCTTGGGTGTAATTAATAACAATACAATTATATTGATTTACATTACTGTTATGTTTAGCTGTTTATGAATACTATTAATAGGCATTAATGGAAATCTTTCGCATAGTTATGGTCTGATTATAAGTGATAACAATATTAAGATTTTGTTTGGTATTGAAGGAAGTGAATTGAATTGTGGGTTGTGTTCAATAAATAATACTTAATTCTGAATAATTCATTATATATTGTATTAAAAGGGAAAATGTAACGGAAATATAATTCAACATTCAATTCCAACACAATCATAATCAATAAATATAATGATAATATATAATCTCCACAAATCATAAATCTCATAGAAATTATAAATATAATGCAAATAATATAAAAATGTTAACATTTAAATTAACATGTACTTTATTTTACCTAAAATAAATATAGTTTGTATATTAATTCATGTATATTTTATTTATAACGAATTAATTAAAATTATTAAATGTCAAATTGGTATCCAGCCAATTATTAATAACCTATTAACATTCATACCATATGTAAAGCATGTCTATTATTTATGGCATTATTACAATCATGGCATATTGTGTTTTAATTTTACATATTTTGTATTATTATTTTAAATTAACCGTAATTGATAACAATTATTAATATTTGCATTAAACCCAATGGAAAAAATTATTATATTTTGCACAAATAAAACGATATCCTTATATTTATCATACCATTGAGCTATTTATCAATTAAATCACATCTAAATTACATCAAAAAAACTTAATATGTTTTTCAAACAATAAACACTTATCTGTAATAATAAAAGCGAAATGCAATAAAACCAAAATTACAGCAAAATTCTGGTTTACAAATGATTGCAAAAATTTTATTTTTTCTCTTTTTTGATAGTTTTCATCGAAAAGCTATATCTTATTTTATCATATATTATCATAAATTTCATTAAGAAATATCAGTTATATTCATGGCTTAAACATAGAAATCACTGTAAATTTGTGGCCAAGAAATGGTGCTCAAGAGATGGATTCCCAGCAGATATCGGATCGGCTTTTTAGGTATGACTGCCTGTAGTCTACTCTACACCTTACGAGTGAATATCAATGTAGCGATCATTGCAATGGTTAAGCCTAAAAACTCATTGCATCCCAAAGACTGGTGCTATGAATACAATAGTAGCGCCGATCAGCCCGATGACTACCCGGTAACTATATTTTAACTAGTTTAATGTAACCATAAAAAACACGTGTAATTATGATTTACAAATAAGTTGTGAATTAATTGAAAAGAGCGATCGGATCTACGAGTGGAGTGAATCAACTCAAGGCATTATATTAGGCGCTTATTTCTACGGCTTTACCGCCACTCAGGTTATCGGCGGTCTGTTGACCGACCGATGGGGCGCCAAATGGGTTTGTTTGGCCGGTCTGTCTGTTCCCGGACTCGTCAACGCTTTCACACCGTTTGCGGCCGACGAGCACTTCGGTTGGCTAATCGTGATTCGGGTGATAATCGGCACGTTTCACGGTTTGGTCAACTCATCCCTGTTCTCGATGTACGCCAAATGGTTCCCAACAAGTGAGAGGACGATAGCGATTGCTGCCACACAATTGGGCGGTAATATCGGTGCTATGTTTATGGCGCCGATGTCTGGCTATTTAGCTAAACACGGCTACGCCGGCGGCTGGCCCTCCGTTTTCTACACGTCCAGCGCTATACATATAGTGTGGATCATCTCTTGGCTGTTCTTCGCATATGATTCACCAGCAGATTGCAAAAACATCGACCCTGATGAACATCTATATATTTTACAAAACACAGATTCCCAGACCAATAAGGTATTTACAAAAAGGTTTACATAATTTTGTGCACTTTTTGAGCGCTATTTATTTGTCTTAATGTCATTAGAGTTCGGATCCGATTCCGTGGCGATCAATACTGACTTCCCGTGCAGTCTATGGCTCGATATTTGCCAAAACTAGCGGTACTTTCGGTTATTATGTGTTGACCACAAGTGTTCCCCTCTATTTCGACACAATCTTTGCCTTAAGAATCATCGATAATGGCGTCTATACGGCGCTAATGTATCTGTTTATCGGCATAACACTGATGAGCGCCGGACCCCTCTCTACCTTCATTATAGCGAAGTCTAATTTCTCGCGGACGAGGATTAGGAAAGTATTTCAAATGATTTGTACGTAAATTAAATATTATTGTTATCAAACTATGTTCAAACTCTGTGTGTCTCTGTATTGCAGCACTTGTAGGGCCGGCTATATGTCTGCTGATTGTGCCGTCCGTCGGATGCGATTTAGTGGCTGTCGTGGTATTAGTGGTGTTGAGTATGTGTTTGTATGGCTTCATAACGGGAGGCGAGTATCCAATTATACCGGAATACGCGCCAGAATTCACGGGCACTGTGTTTGGCATAACCATGATTTAGTGGCTGTCGTGGTGTTAGTGGTGTTGAGTATGTGTTTGTATGGCTTCATAACGGGAGGCGAGTATCCAATTATACCGGAATACGCGCCAGAATTCACGGGCACTGTGTTTGGCATAACCAACACATTGGCCTCTTCTATGGGATTCTTAGCGCCCATTATTGTCGGCCAGATTCTGGACACCGAACACAATGTATTCATTAAATCAATAGTCATTTTCATATAAATATCTAATTCTTTATATTTTTCACATATAGTCGGAAACGCGTAAGAAATGGGATATCGTTTTCTACGTGACGGCGGCTTTCTATTTGTTGGGCGCACTATTCTTCGAGATCTTCGGATCGGCTGAACGTCAGCCGTGGGCGAGGGTTACGATCAACAGGAGTCCCGACATTGAACTCAATCAGATGTCGGCAAACGGTGCGAACGGTCGCACCAAAAATGGCTCTCAAAATGAGACACATTTCTCGAGAAACAGAATATTTTCTCGATTCAAGAAGTCGTTGGACACGGAATCGCCCGAATGGGTTGAGTTCAAGAAAAACACATATGTTTTATGAAGTAATTTACTTGAAACATGATTAATTGCAATCAATTATGTTTTATTAGAGCAATTTTTTATTTATTTAATTACAATTTTTTTGTAAATATAAATTTTTATGTTGAAAGTCAACAGAATCTTATTATAAATATAAGTTTATTATTAATAGATTAAGTAAACAATAATAAAATGATTGAATTATATAATAATAACCGTAATGTTTAAGATTGTTATGAAATGTGATGTATTGAATGAGACGCTAATCCCTTATGCAATGGATTTGTATTGTTTGCAAAACAGTGTCTGTTTTAATACTGATAATAATATTACCAAAATTTACACAAAAAAAGTGATAGAAATGTTTTTGGTTTGCTTTTTATTAATAAATGTTTGCGGTTTTGAGTGCGGAAAAGGATTACACACACCATATATACAGTGATATCTTTCACAATAATTTTCAGCTTCTTTTGCACAGAAACTATCAAATTATCCCAAAGAATAGTTTTGCTAAACATTACAGTGTTTTTAATTATGTTTGAAATTATATCAAATATTTTGCATAATATGAATAGATTTAACAAATTGTGTGAATGGCTTCAGAGTACACCCAAGTGCTCAATAATCCTCGTATATGTAGCCATACTTATTGACAATCTATTGCTTACGTCTGTGGGTAAGTGTCGGACGATTATATTTTCTAAACGGTGTCACAGAATCTCTTATATTTGTTTTGTTGTGACGGATTCAGTGCCAGTGATTCCCGATTATCTCAACAAAATCAGCGCCGATTCCAACGATACGATCACACTATCGATGCCATTATTTAAAAGTCTGATCGAGATCAATTCAAGCAACACCGGCGATATGACCAGAATCTATAATAACATCATTTCCATGCATTCAAACACTGTTTTTGACGACGAAAACGGAAGAATCGGTTTCCTATTGTCGACCAAAGCGTTCGTACAAATGATCTGCAATTTCTTTGTCAGTCCTCTAATCAATCGCTTTGGTTATGAAAAGACACAAATATTTGGATCAATTATTTTACTTCTCTCGTCTTTGCGTGAGTTTTTAGACCAAATTAAATTAATTAATTAAATAAGTATTAGTTATAGTTATATTAGTTATAATTATTACTTATACAAAAATATGATAGTTTACGCAATGGGCGAGTCATTCATTATGCTATTGATTCCCCGCTGTATTCAAGGAATATCTTCGGCTTTAATCACAGTTTCGGGTAAATCTATTCGCATATTATTTAATAAGTTTATGAGTAATTTACTGTAATTTTGTTTTTATAAAAGCGATGGCAATGATTGCCAATATGTATCCCAACCAAGAAACCAGATCTAATGTAATGGGCTTTACTTTGGGAGGTATGGCTATTGGCGTTTTGATCGGATATCCATTCGGAGGATTTGCCTATGAATTTTTGGGCAAAACGGCAACATTTGGCATTATTTCTGTCTTTACTTTTATATTAATTGGTTTGTTGTAATCTATCATTATTATACACACCTATATTTAAATACAATGCTGTCCGGTATGAATACAGTACCTGTTTATGGGTTTAAATAATTGATAAATGATTGTGTATTACATGTACA